TTCAGTCGACCCAATGATGACAGATCTTATACCCGTGCGCACCAGAGGTCCAGCCCGAAACGCATGAGTTGTAACCTCCACACGACCGTTGCGCGTTTCGAACCTTGATCATTGTTCCAAATTTCTCATCGCTGAATCGACCGAGGTACATGTGCGTGCCCACTAGTTAAATGATGGCTTGCACAACAAAAGTGCCACAAGTTCTTTCATATATAGTTGATCAGCCAGCTACTCTCTTTCCATGCCACACTACTATTCATGGCATCGCGGCAACAAGGAGGGGGACACCTAAAGGAGTGAGTGGCATTATTTATGGCACGAATGGCTGGCCAAAGCCTTGCGGTGGGGACAATATTTATGTATTATTAAAAGTTGCATGTCAGTATATATGTGGTGTTAACTGGGATGGAGGTGTGTTTGTCTCTTTGCGACATTATTTTAGATGACATGACAAAGATTAGTACCACTATACACTAGCTAGCTTTCATAGTACTTTCTTTGGTTTTGTAAAGTAATGTGCAAGTTCAAGCAGCTCATTCACGGACACGAGAAGCCGTTTCTATTCGAGGTAGGTTGGTGGGGCGGATATGCCACCGGCTTTTCTTGCAACTCCTTTTTAAGAAATGATGATATTTAAAAACTGATTGTTACGTATGAAATATTGGTTCAAGGTAAAGAATTGTCCTTTTGTGGTATATTTTGACTTGTGGGTACTTTTTACGTATATGTTCGTGGTTAATAGTTTTAGTTATTTATTACAGAAAAAGTGAAAACCAGTTAAAGCACACTCGCTCTATTTTTAACCTTTCTCTTTTAAGTGTTTGCATTTAGGGAGAACCACGTACTTATTTGGAAACACTACTAACTTTATAAGAAAATCTAGTGTGATTGTTTTTTTAAGCAATGCCAAAATCTAACATGGTTTGCTTGAAATAAAGCTTCGATTTTCACATTTCAAATAACTTAATCCCATTGTTTTTCACTTTCTTCACGAATCCGTGTAAAGTTCACAACCACTAAAAGGGCGTTGGTAAGATCACTAAGATGTGAAGTAATTAGTTTGTCCCGGAATGTAGCGTGTTGGGGTAGTTTAAACTTGGACTCGGGCCGGGTGACCCGACCCGGAACTGGTCCGGGACCGGTACTGTTTCGGCCCGGCCCGAACCGGTGGCCCGATCAGTGACCGGTCCGGGTAGGCCCGACCCGATGGGTTTCCCGGACGGGCACGGGTCATCCAAAACAAGGCCCGGCCCGGTTCGGACCGGACCAAATTGATTTTTTTTTTTTGGGTTTTTTTCATTTGTGTGGGCTCCACCCGGGTTGGGCTAGATGTTAGGAGGGGTTTGGGGGGGGGGGGTGAGAGGGGGTCAGGGATGGGTAGGTAAGCAAAAAAAATATGTATATTTTGACTTGTGGGTAATTTTTACGTATATGTTTGTGGTTAATAGTTTTAGTTATTTATTACACAAAAAGTGAAAACCAGTTAAAGCACACTCGCTCTATTTTCAACCTCTCTTTTAAGTGTTTGCATTTAGGGAGAATCACTATTTGGAAACATTACTAACTTTATAAGAAAATCTAGTGTGGTTGTTTTTTTAAGCAATGCCAAAATCTAACATGGTTTGCTTGAAATAAAGCTTAGATTTTCACATTTCAAATAACTTAATCCCATTGTTTTTCACTTTCTTCACGAATCCGTGTAATATTGTAATGTTCACAACCACTAAAAGGGCGTTGGTAAGATGTGAAGTAATTAGTTTGTCCCGGAATGTAGGGTGTTGGGGTAGTGTTAGACTTGGACTCGGGTCGGGTCGCCCGGCCCGGAACCGGTCCGGGACCGGTACTATTTTGGCCCAGCCCGAATCGGTGGCCCGGTCAGTGACCGATCCGGGTAGGCCCGATCTGACGGGTTTCCGGTCCGGGCTCGGGTCACCCAAAACAAGGCGCGGCCCGGTTTGGGCCAAATTGATTATTTTTTTTTTGTTTTTTTCATTTGTTTGGGCTCCACCCGGGTTGGGCTTGATGTTTACTAGGGGTTTGGGGGGTTTGGGAGGGTCAGGGATGGGTAGGTGAGCAAAAAAATAAAAAATTAACCAAATCCGAGGCCCGACCCGGATCCGGTGGCTACCCGGACTGGTCCCGGGTCCAGCTATTCAGAACCGCCGGCCCAGGCCCGACCCGACCCGAGTCCAAGTCTAGGTAGTGTACATGAATTCGTGGCAATGTAGGGGGCTTGCGAGCGAGCCACATGAATGTATTGATTATTGGGAAGTGACAAGGCTACTGAGGACGCGATGATTAGTGGTGACGACAAGTCACTTGATCAATGACTCATTGAGTGTCTAGAGTCACTAGGGGGCTAACGTAATTGTCACAAGTGGTGTCACTATCACTACCTCCGAAAGTGATATTGATTGTGTCACCGTCTCAGGTGGTGCTCTATACCGGAATTGTCACTATCCTCGAACAAGACTATTGTCACTTATACATTTAGAGCCTGTTTGGTAACATTAAAAATGATTGAATTGGTCGATTCTGCTGAAATTTATGAAATTCTGTCTGAAGTGGTTGTATTGGCTGATTATGCTGATTCATGAAAAAATTATATTGAAAATATTTGTTATCAATAAATTAAACAAAAAATTATATGAAAAATAGCTAAAATGATCTTCTGCACTAACTGCAGCCAAAACAGCCAGAAAAGTAATCCCAACCTTACTTTTTCTGCTTATTACAAACTTCAGCGCGTGAAATTAAAAATTACGTGTTTGGTGAAAAAGTTAACTGATAAGCCTGATAAGTCGAAAAAAGGGATTACCAAACGGGCTCTTACACTTGTTGGCGGAAGAGTACTCTCATTCCCTTATTTAAAAATAAGGGTGATGTGCAAGAATGTGCTAACTATCGAGGGATTAAGCTTATGAGTCACACCATGAAACTTTGGGAGCGAGTGGTTGAGCAAAGACTACGTAAAAGTGTGAAAATTTCGGAGAATCAATTTGGTTTTATGCCTGGACGCTCAACAACTGAGGTCATTCACCTTCTTAGACAAGTTGTGGAGAAGTATAGAGACACTAAAAAGGGTCTGAATTTGGTGTTCATTGACTTAGAAAAGGCATATGATAGAGTATCTCGAGAAGTTCTTTGGTGGGCCTTAACTAGAAAAGGCATATCACGTAAGCATATCAGCATCATCATGGATATGTATGATGCTTGTACTACAAGTGTCCGCACTAGTGTAGGGAGGACCGCAGAGTTCCCTATTACTATTGGAGTGCACCAAGGATCTGCTCTGAGTCCTTTCTTATTTGCTTTAGTCATGGATGAACTTACGAAGTCAATTCAAGAAGATATACCGTGGTGCATGATGTTTGCCGATGATATTGTATTGATTGATGTAACACAATCCGGTGTTAAAGCAAAGTTGGAAGTATGGCGACAAACATTGGAGAGCGAGGATTTCAAACTGAGCCAAAGCAAGACTGAGTATATGGAGTGCAAGTTCGGTGGAGGTAGAAGCGGTAGCAAGTAGCAACAGTGGGATTACTCTTGATGGTAAGGAGATACCGGTGTGTGATATGTTCCGTTACTTGGGATCCATAATTCAGAAGGATGGTGAATTAGATGGAGATGTATGTCATAGAATCAGAGCTGGGTGGATGAAATGGAAAAGTGCTTCAGGATTTCTATGCGATCGAGGTATGCCGACTAAATTGAAAGGTAAATTTTATCGTACAGCAATTAGGCCGGCATTAATGTATGCGTAGAGTGTTGGGCGGTGAAGCAATGCCACATTCAAAAGATGAGTGTGACAGAGATGCGTATGTTGCGTTGGATGTGTGGACATACCAGAAAAGACCGCCTGAGGAATGAGGTAATCAGACAAAAGGTGGGAGTAGCACATATAGAAGATAAGATGCAAGAATCTCGTTTGCGGTGGTTTGGGCATGTGCATAGAAGACCGAGTGATGCACCTGTTAGACGACTTGAGGGGTGGGGAGAAGAGTCAGAGAAGAGAGGGAGGGGAAGACCCAAACAGGCTTGGATTAGAGTAATCAGAACTGATATGCGTCTTCTTGGGTTGGATGAGAGTATGGCTTTGGAGAGAGCAAAGTGGAGGGCGCACATCCATGTGGACGATTGATGTCTTGTCTACCTTTCCTCTCTTGTTTCTTTTATCGTTTATCTTCCTTATCTTTTTATATTCTTATGTTATTTTTATCTTCTATCTTTTTTATGTTCTTTTATTTATTTTTCTTTTATCTTGGTTATATTCTTGTGTTATTATTATCTTATATTTATGTATCTTTATTTTATTCATTTTATCTTACTTTTTTTTCCTTTTCTTGTCCGCCTTCTCTTTTTGGCATCGATATCATAGATCGATTCATGTTAGCCGACCCCAAATTCTTTTGGGATTAAGGCTTGGATGTTGTTGTTGTTGTATCTAGTCACTTTTCTAAAAACTCAAAATATGATAGTTTCCTTATGTAATGTATAAATATACACTACTCCCTCCTAGCCCAAACCCATAAGTAGGCCCATGTATCTTCCTATATACGGAGCATATCCCTACTCTCCCCTACTTGTATATGCTTATCACTGATATTCCAATCTTTTTTTCTCCATGTTTTACCTTTAATATTTTTTTTGGAAAAATAAGAAGCGGCCTTGTTTTTATTTAATGAAAAGCTGTGATTCATGTTTTAGCTTTTGCTATGATTCTACATCAAATTAAATGATGACACTCCCTAAATCAGTAGAAAAGAAAAAAAAACACATAACACTTCAAAATATAGTTTTTAATCTTTATGCACCAGAAATATAGTTTGGTTTGTATATTCATGTTTTCCCGGTTGTGTACCTTTGCCAGTTTTTCTATAGACGGCAAAGATCGGATATTAAAAACCAGTTCCGAGGTCAATCCGGCTGGTCCAGGACGTTTGTTTAACATTGAGGGATATTTAGTAAGCCAATTAAAAGAGAGACAACAAAGCATAGCAGGACTTTGGTAGCTGTGATAATTGATCCACAAAATAGTTGGTGGTTTTGTTAGGTTTTGATGACATAAGATGATTATATGAATGACCTCAATAGAGATAGCATGGCACACCTATGAACTAACAAAGATGGCAATGACAAATGAATGACAACAAAGATGCCCTACTTTGAAAATAAGTTGAAACAGATCCCATTCTCAATAGAAGATTTCAAAGTACCTCTTTCTGGAAATACATCGCCTTAGTGAATACAATATCCAGTAATAGAATCATATAAACTGGGGCGAATCGGGCAATCCTCTGATAATTGAAATACAAGACACCCATTGATTGGAGGTCAAGTGTCAATAAGTGTGTAGATGTGGTAGTCAATCAATCTTCTTCCAACTGGGAGATGATACTGGCAAAGACACCATATCCTTGGCACATGTCAGTCAGGAGGCAATATTCATTCTTGGCATGGTATGTCTCCATTAAGCCTGAAACAGGTTTGTTCCAACAAACAAATTGTATAAAAATGGAGATGAAACAAGCAAATTTACAAACATAAGACATAGTATTTGCTACATTCTAAGTTAAGTTATAAATGATACCATAGCCACATGTCTGAACATCAAAACCCTCATCCTGCCATATTAAACAAACGATTAAGAAGGCAAAAAAACACCATTTCACAAAAAAAGGAACAAATACCCTTCCACAAATGGTCAAAAATTGATCTGACTAAATAACCTGCAGTTCTCGTATCAGTGGCAGAGTACCAGTGATAGAATATGGTTTCACATGCCCCACTATTTCTTCAGTAGCTTTGCACAATACGTGGAATCCACGGGAATCAAGGTTGCAAGCAACTCCTGATGATGCCTCGTCAAAACTGATACTTAATCTGGAGCAGAAAAGACAAAGATTTGGGAAGCGGGAAAAAATGGTTTGAGAAATTTGCAACTTTTTACAGTGATAGTGTCAAATCAGACAAGTCGATAGAAAATGATGTGGTTTATAAGACTCAAGGTTGAATCAGCTAATAAATTGGAATATTTGATTCAATTTTTAGTGTAGTTTAGCCCAAGTGCTTTTAGCCCAGTGAGTGACCTCAATCCTAATTTATATCATGGTATCAGTTCCCAGCGGAGTCAAACTATAAACTAACAATCAGACAACAACAACAACAACATCCGAGCCTTAGTCCCAAAAGATATTGGGGTAAACTAACAATCAGACAAGTAAACAAAAAAACAATGTCCCAATAAGACTATTTATTTATTTATTTATTTATTAATAAAGTGGATTCAATCTTCTAGTTGATTGACATAAACCAAATTCTGAAATATATCACCAAGTTTATATGTGCTTAATATGGAGAACACCCTTTCACGATTGACCCTAATTACATGTGCAAAAAACAGCCCTTTTAGGAAACTATATAAAGCATCACCTGCCCCTAAGGTTTTCATCAGGCAGGACATATTTTGAAACAGGCCCCCTTGTATCAAGTTTGTCTATGTTGTCATTCAAGTCATCAACATAGTCTTTAAGCTTTTTCATCACATCAGATACACTGCAAGGTCGAAACAAAAGTAATAACTCAGAAGTTGGACCTTTTAAGTGAAGAAAAGGCACAGTTGAAAATTCAATTTGTCTTTGTCCTCCAAAAAAGAGTCCCATTTGAACAAAAGAATCTAATTTTGTTGTATTTCATTTTTTGGGTATAAAAGAAGTTTCAAAAACAAGTTCAGCGTATTAAATTTAGTTAAACCAACAAATATTTTTTTTCTAGAACTAAATAAAAAAAAAGTTGTACCTTTATGCAACCTTAATTTTTGGGGCGGGGGGGGGGGGGGGGGGGGACAGAAGTAGCAATTTGTTACATAATTATGTTTACAAAACACAATTATGAGATCAAATTCAGAATTAAGAAAGCAAATCATATAAAGAAAAAGTCGTAATTCATACCTGTAAAATGGAGTCAACCTGCAAAGCATAATAAAGACCATCAAATATCATTTCCAGAGATGTGGTTTTACTTGATAGACTCAATACAGAGCTTTTCTGTCAAAAGGTGGTTCTACACTTCTAGAGAGAAAACTGACCTAACATCTCCTGAAATGGTGCACTCAGCTGGTATTTGATTGATACCACCCCCTGGATCTGCAAAAACAAATAAGTCATGATAAGAAAACCCCAGAAGCAACTTTAAGTGTAACATAATTTCCTTAAATTCTTATAAACCAAGAACGTACAACTCCATTGTGTTGGTTTCATGGTTGATGGTGTTGCAAATCCATAAATTTGCTCTTTAGGATGAGGAGGGAAGTCTCTGTAGAAACGCAACTGGATTTCTTTAAACGCCTCCATCGCCAACTCTAGTGGATTAATAGCCTAGAGCAATTGGCATGACAAGGAAAAAAATATTTCAGCTTATGTTGCAGCTTATACTCTTACAGTTATCGGAGGCAGTCTAGACTCATTTCACTTTGATTAATCGCACACACTCAATTTGTTTTTGGAGTTGGGCTCCCAAAACTTTAAGGTATGTTTGATTGGTGGACCTTTGAGAGGAAGGGGTATTTTTTTATATGCTAATTTATCGATATTCTTAGTCATAGAGTGGAAAACAACTACGTAGTACGGTAGTATATGTTTAGATAATCATATGGAGTATTTTCTGAATAATATTTCATCTTCGCTTTCACTATTATCTGTTTCAGTGAATAAACTGTTTTTTTCCACATTTATAGCCGATCAAAGATTTAACAAATTCAATTTAACACCTCATTTCTTAACTTCTTTTTCTAATTTTATTGTGTTTTTTAAATAGTTTTCTATTTTCAGGTTCAAGCATAAAATACATTTTTGAGTTACAAATATAAATTCAGGTTCTAGCTTTGTAATTAGAAGAACTATTTCCACTTTTGGCATGTGAGTATTAGGCGATTATCACTTTTTATCAACAACTTTCATGTTTTCTATTTTTGGTAAAACACAAATTTATTGCCAGTTTTGGTCCGTTCCAACCTGGATAACTGGTGAAAAGAACCATAAATAACAAAAAATGTATATTCATGGGATCAAAAAGTTGAAAAATGAATTTTGGGGATAAACAGAGGGAATGGCCTAATCGCATGGCTTTGTAGGACCAAAAGTGGAATATTTTCTCATAAGTTAAGAACCCAACTGTATACAAATATAGCTTTGTCCATTTTCATAACTAAAAGTGGTGCATAGAAGCAGGCCCAAATACTCAAATTGCATATTGGTTTCTCCAGGGAATCATCAGGTGATTCCCCTCAACATTTGTAAGAGTTCAGATTTTACAGACAAGCTAAGAGGATATCCGTAAGCTGACAATAAAGTGAGCACCTTATGAGGCAAACCACTGTGGAAAAGTTTGCCAATGACATTAAATTTCCATGGTATCATGCCACCGGTACCAATGCAAGGCTGTTTATCAGCTGTATCGATCCAGAACCTAAATTGAGAGAATTTATCAACATAAAACTGTCAAAGTGGTGGAGACTACTTTGTAATTGTCCGTTTGCAACATGAAAATATAAGGGAAGGAAATGGGGGGCCAAATAGAGTATAATCAGAAGGAAATAAACTTTGTAGGGAAATAAGAAATATGCCCAAGCTCAATTAATTTATTTTAGATATTTGTCAAAATTATTCTATTATATCGAGGCTAAGAAATCTAAACAGATAAAATGACAAATATATGACTAAAATATACAGAGTACTACATATGTAACAGAGAACAACGTGACTTTTAATGCTTAGTAAGTAGTAACCATAGTCACATTTCCGCAGTGACTATAGTGATTACGGTGATGTTAAATTTTACAGTGTAGTGACGGTAGTGGCCATATAGTCATATTTTTGTCCATGAGTTTTGTTTTGGTAATATTATGGGGAAAATCTCATCGAATCTTTTAAGGAAATTAATAGTATTTCACTGTTCCATCTTCCTTTGACCTCAGAGTAAAGCCAACCTTTTAAAAATGGAATCATATTTCATTATAGCTTAGAAGGCTCTGGGTTGAACTTGTTAATCAACTGGATTCCATCTTTTAGTATGTTTACTGGTTTGGCCCAAGTGCTTTATGACCGAGATTAGTGGTCGATCTAATCGAAAACGCCATTAATAAGAAAATAGTGTTAACATATTTTTTCCTCTCTGTAGCACTTTATATATGATGTAGAGTTTATTTACTTACAGAGGACCATCCTTCAACTTGTCAAGCAACCCATCTTTAACTAAAGCGTCCACACCAACCCCTGGGATAGATGAGTTCTCTTCACTTGCTATGAAGACAGCCACCACAGTCGACTTCAACTGTGGTTTTGTTTCTCCCAATTGTCTCATAAGTTCGGCAACAAGAGCAACATGACCTAAACAATCAGTTGTTCCCCGTCCACAAAGTTTATCACCATCGATGCTCAAGGAAAAGGGATCAAAATCCTACACTCAAAAATAGTTATCACCATCATATCATAAAATCACGATCATTCATATTGACATGTCATGTAAACTCTAGTATAGGTTTCCTTACATTGTTACATTTCTAATGACTATTCCCGCTTTACATCAGTTCTATTAAACAAGAGCCATTCTGAGTTATTTCAAATATTTCACTTCCTAGGAAAACTCATCCTGAGTTATTTAAAACATATTTGAGGGTGTTTGGTATGGTGGAATCGAGAGTTTCCTCTCACAAGTGTAAATTGTTCCATGCGTATTTTCTTTGCACTATACCACAAACATTCTGAGTTTGGGTAAACATTGACAAAGATGAAGCACTATAAAAGATCTCAAAGAAAGTCTGCACCTAGGAACAGATAAAGATATGAGGACCCAACAGCCAGAAAAGGATTCAAATATTTTTGTCCATGAGTCCATGACACATAATTCATTTTATATGCTGGACACACGCAAAAAACCAGTCTACTTTGTTCGTCCTAAGAAATAAACACACTTCCATAGTTCCATGCATTAAGTTTTCACACACAAAAAAACAGTCTATTTTGTTCATCCTAAGAAAAAAACCAGTCTTTAAGTGGTAGTAGTATTTTATAACCAAATACAGGCAAAATGAAAGACCTAAAAGTAGTCAAATTAAAGAAAAAAACTACAAAAAATCAAATACCAGGATGGAATTTTCCGCGAACACTAATGCCTTCAAAACTTTATGTCTATTTGGATTTTTCTAAATGAATTCCAAAATTTAGACATAAGAGGAATTACCTACTGTAGCTATCAAATTCCGGTTCAATGAAAAAAAGGCCCATTCAACAAATAAATGGACTATGCAAGAGACCCGATGAGGGGACATACCCAATCGGAAGGATTGGCTGTGACAACGTCCATGTGCATTCCCACAAAAGACAGAATCTTTCCTGGCTGGGTGCCGGGGTACTCGACGATAAGGTTGCCCCGGTTGGACTTATAGGCAACATGGTTTACAACTAGTGGCCCGCCGCCGCTGGCGGTGCTGTAAGGGAGGAGGGAGTCAAGAACGTGTTTCACTATCCTGTCCTCCTCCGGGATTAACTCGGGTGGGTTGTTCTGAACGTGCTTCGACTCGCCGATCAGCTTTCTTAAAAGTGACACAAACCTCTCCTTGTTCAGATCACCTAGGGCTTGCTTTACTGAAGCCATTAGAGAGCACGGAGGGATGACTGTCACCAAAATGTAAAGGCTGCTTCAATTTCCCCTTCAATCGACATAACATTTTAAGCTTTCCACGTGTTTTTTACAAAATACTCCCTCCCTATTTACAAAAGGCAATTTCTATGGTACCTTGATGGTACGGACCAATCAAAATTTTTCAATTGAATAATTTAAATGCAAATAAAATGTAAAACTTTAAGTTGTACCAATGAAATGCATTCTAGTTATGTTACCCTCCTATTTTTGTTGGGTACCATAGCAATAGCAAGCACCTTTACAAAATACTCCCTCCCTTATGCTTTAAGCTTTCCACGTGTTTTTTGCACATCCCACTACCGATCCACTAAAATTGTTCAACGTGATTATGATTATACTCCAATTTATATCCTCCGAACGTACCATCCGCTCGGTGTATGTACCGTCCGCTCGGTGTTGGGGCTCCCTCAGGGATGGGGTGTCTAACTAAAACTGTTCAATTCTATTTAAAAATAACTTCTAAATAATTTATTTATCATTTGTCCAACAGCTTGAATCCCCAACTGCAAGGGCATCCCACACCCCGACCCGACCCGATAGAGCACATGCAAAGTTGTAAATCACGGTGACTCAACTAATCATAATGGTGGTAGACTTTATACATGTGCGCACCAGAGGTCTAGTCCAGCACATAGGAGCCGTGACCTTCACACGGTCGTTGCGGGTTTCGATCTTTGGTCATTTGTTCAACTTTCCCACCGTTGTACCGGTTAAGAATAATACTTCTTATTTTTTGTTTTTATTGCAAACTGCGTGTGTGGTTTTGATTGTTTTGGTTTTTAAAAACATTAAAACTCTAGAACTTAAGACATGTGATGGGGGAGTCTAGTTTGTCGGTCATTGATTCAGGTAACCCCACTTGAGGATCAACAAATCTGATTGTTTCTCTAGAGTTAACAAGTTCTAAGTCTGGTTCAAGGGCGGACGACGGATGACGGACAGTGGACTCTTTTTCTGTTAGTTTTCTGTTTACGTTCTGTTAATTTAATGTAAACCACCTTCTTCCAAAAAAGAATAGTACTTCTATAGCATTACAATTATAGTGAGTGGTACTCGTTATGTGTTATACCCACTGAAACTATTTCTCAAAATATAATCGTATTTTATTTAATTATTACCAAAATATCTGCACCATTTTTCAAGAAAAGCTTAAGTCGAGACAAATGTAGTACGTAATAATATTTAAGAAAACCCCTAATAAAAAGTTTTAAAAGACATGAGAATGACATTATTTGAAAAATGCTAGGTGTAAAAGTTTGTGTACACCTATATCACATTCTATACAAGGGTTCAATTCTTTTGTGCTCCTTCAACCCATGTCTATTTAAACAAGCATCCTCCCTCTTTCAATCATGATCATATTGGTTTGATTAAACCGAATCAAATCGTACCAACCGAATTGAAATCAGACCATATGCAATTATCCGATAACCATACCATACTGAATTGAATTGAAACTGTTAAAAATCGAACAAAATTGAATCGAACTAAAGAAATTCAATACAACCTTCATATATTATTAAAAAATAAAAAACTTAAACTGAACCAAATTGAACTGAACCGAACTTAACCAGACCAAAAAATGGTATGATTTTATTTGGTAATAATTCTCTTAATCTGTTTCAAACCGAATCAAAATTTAGAAAAACCGAACCACAAATCGATATGCCCACCCCTGTCATTTCCATCATGTTCCTTCTTTCATATTTCCTTCTACGCGCTCCACCTTTGGCATCATCATCCATCATCATCTTCACCCTTCATTTTCTAAGACCATAAGGTTGAGTTTCGGCGGAAAATAATATATGCATAACTGCTAGAATAATTGTCTGTGCTGTCTACAAATTTTTTCACACTGTATTAAATACTTATATAATTTTTCTGTAAAGCAAAATAAAACTGAAAACCAGTAACATTTTGTAAAATTGCTTCACGGACAAAAAATATATGTATAGAGACACTAATTTGCATGTCATTCGCATTGATTTGTGTTTTTTTGCAGAGAATTCAATGTTAGACTGTATGCAATTTCATGTATGTGCACACAGACATAAGTTGTCTATGTACATATCTGTATGGGTATTATGATTCAGCCCAAGATCCAGCCCTAAATATCCTTAAGAAGCCCATGTGAGATATGGTATTGTCTTATTATTATTATTATTATTATTATTATTATTATTATTATTATTATTACTACTACTATTACTACTATTACTACTATTACTACTATTAGTACTATTATTATTGTTATTATTATTGTTATTATTATTGTTATTATTATTGTTATTATTATTGTTATTATTATTGTTATTATTATTGTTATTATTATTGTTATTATTATTGTTATTATTATTGTTATTATTATTATTGTTATTATTATTGTTATTATTATTGTTATTATTATTGTTATTATTATTGTTATTATTATTGTTATTATTATTGTTATTATTATTGTTATTATTATTGTTGTTATTATTGTTGTTATTATTGTTATTATTATTGTTATTATTATTGTTATTATTCTTATTATTATTCTTATTATTATTATTCTTATTATTATTATTACTATTATTATTACTATTATTATTATTATTATTATTATTATTCTTATTATTATTAGTATCATCATCATCATCATCATTATTATTATTATTATTAGCATTATTATTATTAGCATTATTATTATTATTAGCATTATTATTATTATTAGCATTATTATTATTATTGATGGATAGTGTGCCCGGGGGGTAGCTTATCTGAGGGGTTATTACGGAGAATAATAGGAGAGAAGTCAGAGCAGGTAAATATAGAGAGAGAAAGTATATTGTAAAGTGTGGAGCGTTTTCAGCGTGGTTACAAATGGGGAAATGGGGTGCTATTTATAGTAGCAATAAATGCCGGACAGGGACACGTGTCAAGCGTTCATTGGCCGAGAGGTCACCTCAACTGGTTGGTGCTGGCAACCGCATGTGGCCGCATTTAATGCGGCTGTTGGATGGGACGTTGTACAGGGTACGGTGATCTGCACGCATGTGGCACGGATATCATGTCGGGAAAGGTGCCCTCGGCTGTAGAGGACTAGCCGAGGGCTCTGAGTACTGGGGATCCCCTTGGTGCCGTGGGCTCCAGGTGCCGAGGGCTACTGCTTTTCGCAGTTTTTCCCCGTAGCTTTGTTTTTGTTGTGTTGGCCCTCTTGTGAGAGTTAGAGCCCTCGGCCAGGGGGCCGAAGGCACCCCTGATGCGCATTGTGGGCTGCTTGGTACTCTGGGCGCTGTGATTTGGGCCTGTTAGGCCTTCGGGGCCTGTTGGGCCTTGATTGGGGTAGTAGGAGTTTGTGGGCCGGGGGTTCCCGGGCCATATACTCCATCAGGAGTCCCTCACTCCTTTTGCCGAAAGGTACTTGAGGGAAAAGGAGTAATTGTGTTAGTCCTCTGTCGTTGTTCCGTTTGTAGTTTGTAGAGTTGTGGGTAGTTTGCTGTTTGTTTATTCTGCTGAGGGCAGTCCCTCAGTTACCCACATGTCGGGACTTGAGGGGTCATGTTTGTGATTTTTGTGATTTTTCCCGAGGGGGTCCTCTAGTCCCCCACTCCTTGAGGCACTTGCAAAGTGATGAAAAGGAGTAGAGTAGTTGCGTTGCTGTTTTGGGTCGAAGGCTGACGCTTTTCGTTTCATTTTGGGGGGATGCCTCGTTAAAAACCTCATTAGGAAAAACCCTGTGGGAAAAAATCCTAATGAGGGAAAAAGAGTGCACCGAATTCCCCCAACGATGAATCGAAAATGTGAAACCTTGGTTCAAAATGGAGAATAATGGTAATGCCGAAGGCTCTCCTTGTTCTGAGGGCTCATGTGCTGATTAGCCGGAGGTTTGTTTGTTGATGTCATGGGAGGTGCCGAAGGGGAGTCCCTCAATCTGGGGATCGAGGGCGTAATGAATGCGGGTAGCAGTCAAGTTGTTACCGGGGGTCCCCTGTTTGTTGATTAGTTGGTGATGAGGATCTCCGAGGGGTCCCGTTACCTGTGTGCCGTAGGTGATCCATCAATGAGGCATACTCCCCGGGGGCTACCCGGCTCTCAAAGTGCTGAGGGGGGATCCCCGAGGGGTGCCTGTTATGAAGCCTTGGGCTTCTGAAGGTTTGATCCCGAAGGCATCTGTTATGTAATGTGTGGGGCACAACCCGGGAGCATCTCCGGGTAAGTGTACCCGGAGGCTCTCCTTGATGAAGTGGAGTGAAGTAAAAAGCCCGGGGGCTCCCAGAATATAGCCGTTGGAAATATAGCCGTTGGAATATGTAACGTCCGGATATAGCCGTTGGAGGGGGGTTGCCACGTGGTGCGTGCTCGTTGGCTGCCCGTGGGCGGGCGTCACCGATTGGGTGAAAACTCGGTTGGTAATGATGGCAGTCCAACCGGAGGCCCGGTTTCCAGCGCCTATAAATACCCCATGGCCGGCTTCAATTCCTTCCCCTTGTGCAAAATCCTTATAGCGAAGCTCTGCCAAAATTTCTAGAGAGAGAAACAGCAGCCCTCGATCAAATTCTTATTCCAAGGTCAGTTCTCCACTCGTACTTCACCTTCTTAGTTAGCTGTCTTTGTGGCCTTAGATTAGGGGTGTAGCTTAGAGCACTTAGCATCTTCGAACCCTCGACTTAGTATAACAATGTCTTCACAAAGCGATTCTCAAGACATCTCGGGAGCGCCCTCGATGGAGGATGAGGTCATCTCGGATGTGGAGTCCTCAAGTGAACAGTCCTCTGCCCAGGAGGATGTCGCGTTGGCGGTAGAAGTGCAGAAAGAGTTGGTGGCTGAAGTTGAAGCCGAGGGATTCGAGCAGGAGGCGGAGGACGAAGAGCTTGCCCTCGCCGTGCAAGTTGCGGAGGAGGAAGAAGAAAAAGAGAGGATGAAGGTGACAGTGGCCGTCCTCCCCCCTCGGGGTGCTAGTGAAGCAGGGAGCTCTCGGCCCCTCAACCCGACGCCGATAAGAGTGGCCCCCGGGAACCAATCGGGAAAGAAGAAAACTGCCCCCAAGAAGAAAAGTGTCGCT